GAGCCACGCTTAGCAGGACCCACTTGTGAAGGGTCTGGCTTCCATCCTATGAAATACAATAACTGAAATGTCGCTGGTACACTTCCATCTTCATTGCCATAATCACCTACAAGAACATTCAAAACTCACCAATAATAAATATTATCTTACTCTTGTATATTTCAGCTGCTCTTTTGAGTGTTGTTCTTCTGATATAGTTTGGCCTGTGTTTGACGGCATTGTTCTCCCCCATACCTACAATACATACAGTTCAATACTGAGTGTACAAGTTCATGATAAACAATACCTTTAAGGTCATGCATAAGTTCATGGATACCAGGATAATTGACTACTATTTCATCAACATCCTATCAGTAGAAAAAGTAATTAAATATATGATATTCTACTCATTATTTTACAGAAAGTTAAAATATGTGGACTATTAATACACTTACCAAAGTGGTCATTACAAATCCTGATCTTGTTAATACGCCACCTATATCACTTAATTCTACAAACGGCGAGACATGAGGTGAGAGTCCCTGCAGATAATGACCAGTACATTACATGACAGTATCTATAGGGCTTACTCCTTCATTCTCTTCTTGTGCAATTTGTAATGAGCACCTCAACTCAAAGAGTGTGTCACCAGAAAACATTGCACCAATCAGGCAGCCATCAGGTTTTAAGACTCTCTGTATCTATTAAAGACATATACAGTAACAGTGTTACAGTGATACTTCATTGTATAAAACACAATGACATACTTCAGTGAAAGCTCTGGGTAAGTCATTGACCCAATGCAAGCTGCAGCTGCTAGTTACGAGCTCAAACTGATTGTCCTTAAATGGTAAAAATTCTTCATCTGCCACTACACGATAAGTAGGCACATCAGGAGGAGCAGAACTTTGTGACTATACAATACAAATAAGAAATACTCCCATTAGTACAAAAAAATTGGCAACAATAATAATTAGCAAATATTATATTAAAGATTATACATTATTGATGAGCACAATCAAATTGCGGATTTTATAAA